TGTCCTGAGATAACGTCTGTTATGAATTGGCGTTATACAAATAAAATTGAATTGAATTGAATTGTACGGAAAAACTAGTCACATGCATTGCTCACGTGTCTTCAAATCTTGAAGTTTCCGTGGGCCTCTTCTATGAACTCTGATCTTTAGTTCTTTCCATAGATTTTCTATTGGATTCAAGTCAGGTGATTGGCTGGGCCATTCTACCAGCTTTATTTTATTTCTCTGAAACCAATTGAGAGTTTCCTTGGCTGTGTGTTTGGGATCATTGTCTTGCTGAAATGTCCTCCCTCGTTTCATCTTCATCATCCTGGTAGATGGCAGCAGATTTTTATCAAGAATGTCTTGGTACATTTTTCCATTCATCCTTCCTTCAATTATATGAAGTTTGCCAGTGCCATATGCTGAAAAACAGCCCCACACCATGATGTTCCCACCTCCAAACTGCACTTGGTATGGTGTTTTTGGGGTGATGTGCAGTGCCATTTGACCTCTCAACATGCTGTGTATTATGGTATCCAAAGAGTTGAATTTTGGTCTCATCTGACCAGACTATATTCTCCCAGTATTTCACAGGCTTGTCTAAATGTTGTGCTGCAAACTTTAAACGTGCTTCAACATGTTTTTTCTTCAGCAATGGAGTCTTGCGCGGTGAGCGTGCATACAGGCCATGGTGGGTGAATGCATTACTTATTGTTTTCTTTGAAACAATTGTACCTGCTGATTCCAGGTCTTTCTGAAGCTCTCCACAAATGGTCCTTGGCTCTTGGACAACTCTTCTGATAATTCTTTTCACTCCTTTGTCAGAAATCTTGCGAGGAGCACTTAGTCGTGGCCGGTTTATGGTGAAATTATGTTCTTTCCACTTGATTTCTTTGCATGTGTGGATTGGATGGGTTGTTACCGTCATCTGGTGAAGACTTCATGTCAATAGCACCTTTAGAAATATATTTACTGAGAAAAATGGTGACGTGTTCAATACTTATTTTACCCGTTGTAGTTCCCTTTATGCTACTTTTAAAAAACAAAATAAAAATTGAGATAAATCATAAAAATGCACATATTTCAGTTTAACAAACTCCTAGGAAATTGATCAGATTGACTTCCAATTTGGTCAGTGCATACTAAAGACCAAAATCTTCAGTTTTCATCGAAGGGCATGACCATAGAGTGGTAACAGATTTAGATTTTTTGCCAGTAAACAGCAAGTTGTTATAACTTTAGTGTATTCTGTCCAATTAGCAGTCCCCCCCTGAACATTTCAACATGAAAATGTTCAGCCATAGTAGTAGTAGTGCCCCCTACGGGCAAATTTGGTGAGAAGACCTTTAAGATGTCGATGAAGATATGTTAGGAATCTTGTGATTTTCCTCTGAACCACTGTTGCCATGGCAATGTGGCGACCAGCAATATTAAATTTTTATCAGTTTATCTCATTTTTGGGGGGCTAAACATGCTCCAAAACTTATAAAAGCTGGCAAGTTTTTAGACACAAATAATAATGTGAAGACCAACATTAAATTTAATTAATTGAATGATGTTCTATTATGGCCATGGATGATCTGTTATTTTAGACTATGTGATATTCATTTGGGGGCTAAACTGTGTGTGTGTGTGACAGTGAGTCAGCATCAACACCATCTGGGGCCTCATTTATGAAGGTTAAAATGTGCGTACACTCATTTCCCTGCAAAGTTCTGGATATATAGAGAGCGTACGTGTGATAAAGGGTGTGCATTTCTACGCATGTTTCCACCAATGCTTAAAGCCCCCGTGCAGCTTTTCAGATATGGTAAACAGTGGTGCCAGATGGTAAGATCATAAAATAAAGGTCAGTCCTCAGATGCAAAAACATATAGGAAATATAAAATGCACACTGATCACCTACCAATCATCTGCGTATTCATAATTGCAAAGAGAGAGAGAGAGAGAGTGCAGTGGAACCGGTTCAACCGGTTCACTTACGGAAATTCTTTCACAAGTGAAGTCATGTCCAATAAAAGATTACTACAGTGCTTTTACTTTGAAAAGTTTAAACTACTAAAACATGTGGATATGACTACCTTTCACTGTGCTCTTTTACTGGGAGACCGGTGCAGCAAAAATAGGTGAGACCTCAACCCTCTAGTGAAGCATTGCTGCAGACGCAGCTAAAGCGGGCAGTGTGCCTGCTTTAATCTGTTAACATAGCCGCCGAAGGGCAGTGTGAACAAACCGTCACAAACATACGCCCCTTACTTCAAAGACACGCCTTGCGCATTCTCCTTTGTAGTGAAATACACTGGAGATATGGTGAAGCACTTTGTAACACAAAAAGAGCTTTTTAAAACATTGGCAATAGATGGACAGCAATGATATATATTGTACAAGCACACGTCTGCATGTCACCGCCTTACAGAGTGGATTGGTTCTGCAATTGCTTGTTTTTGTCTAGGCAACAAAGGCTGAGACAAAGGCCTCAGTCTCTATTGAGTGAAGCGTTTGTGAGTCATCATTTACCTACACACTACACATTTGACTTTTTATTGCCCAGAAAAGGCGCACAAATTCTTAGTAAATGTGCTACAGTGTGCGACAAATCACTCAAATCAGAAGCATTCATGAGGGTCACTCATCACAATCACATCATTCTATCCAATTTAGAGACTAAAATTAACCAAGTTAAAAAAAGTAAGTGATGTCCAACACCTCGATCACCCTGACATTGGTTACAGGATATTAATCAACTCCAACAGACATTGGTACTTTGTAATATACAATGTCCTTGTTGATCAGAGATCTGCAGTAGGTGTGCAGTACATTAGACACCTTCAAGCTGCATGTGGCAACTAGAGCAGATGGGGCCCATCCTCTGTAATTCCACCTACAATCTGAATGTTTGTCTGACCTTCGAACCCCAGTCTTACCTTCAATAGTAAAGTGTAGCTGTGCTCTGGCAGTGAGCCCCAGTCTAAGCTGAACACTCTCAAGAGGAAAATACATACAAAAATGTTGGTGGATTTACTAAAGGAAACAGATTTACAGCCCAGCAGCTGGTTTAGAAGCTCCAGATGTTGTGTTGTGAGCATGTGCACTGGCCAGGTTACTCTACCTCCACCTCACAGACGGGAGCTGAAGAATTGAGATGTTAATGTGATGGTAGGTGGTAACTGCGTTGTCGTCTGTGTTCAACCCATACTAGCATTTGTTTTTCAGATGAAAAAACAGCACCTGGCACAGTTGAGTGTCATTTCAATGAACTGTGACATAGTTATAGACTACTATGTCACCCACATTTTCCTTTAGATCTGTCTCTGCTGTTTTTATTTTCCTGGGGATTTCCAGGGTCTTCCCTCTTCCAGAGATCTAATTTCTCCACCATCCTTCATTCAGCTCAGTGTGTTCTTCCTAGTCACTGTGCAATTTTCCAGGGTTTTGTTTTCCAGTCATCAGGACGTTTTACCACCACTGATCCAGTCTCCTCGGCTGCCAAAGTGCCACATGCTGTCATTGCCCTGCTGGCTTTTTCCAACCGCTGGCTCCTGACACCACACCAGTCCTTCATTAAACCTCCTGCTCTGGAGCTTCAGTCAACGTTCCATACAACCACAAATAACCAGACTGTATGGAAGAGGACATTTCCTCCTTTTTCCCTTTCCTTCTTATGGTTAAGGTGCATGGCACCTAATTAATAGAACTGATCTCAGTAGAACATTCAGGAGATGTACTGCAGTAGCAGAAAAAAGCAAAAGGAATGTGAGACGTAGACAGAAGGAACTGACAGAAAGGATAAATAAAAGGCTTTTGGTGAAGTGGAGACTTTGCGGTGAGGTGCTGGCTGGTCCTTGGGGGCTAAATAAAGCTGGAGAAGGAAAAGGAGGGAAGTGAAAGAGAGCAGGTTGTTGACAGATGAACCCCCAATTCTGGCCATCACCATCCTGGGGAGTCTACCAGGCTGGAGTCCTGCCACAGATCCAAATCTTCAAATGTCTCGCTGCAGTGTGCGCTGTACTGATTCCGAATACTGATAGAGTAGCTATTTTTCCTTTAAAGGAAAGAAAGTTCAAAAACAAGGGAATGGTTCAACACATGCTTATTTACTTTCTTTCAGAGTGAGGTGAGAAGATGGCTATCAGTCTCATATGTGTGTTAATTACAGAGTTGGACTCAGGGTGAGGTTAGCTTAGCCTAGCATAAAGACTGGAAGAAGGGGAAAACAGCTAGCCTGGCTCATTTAAATTGGACAATTTGTGGTATTAAGGAGAGTAAAGCGGGGGATGTTTTCACCGGTTTTATCTTGAACTTGTGGATATTTTAAACAAGTCTTGTGGGTGTTTTGACGTGAACTTGTGCCATTCTCATCTGAGTCCAGTTGGCTTTTTTTCTCTCTCTTTCTTCTCTTTAAGTAAGATAACATTATGAAGAATATTGAATGGTATTGATTTTTTGGTCTCAGTCCTGACTGTCTAGCACTGCATGAAAAGTGGGACTTTCGTCAGTAAGCGGCACTGTAGATTGTCGTGGAACTTCAGGTTTACGACTGCATATGGCAATTTGCAGGCAACATGGAAAACTGCCGTGAATTGTCGGAAATTGATGTGGGCCTTGCTTGGCAGTTGTCCCCCCCCATGACCCCCCTCCCCCTAATTCTAGGGGAGACTTTAACATGTAAATGAAAATGCTGTGAGCTATACAAATGCAAATGAGGGTAGCAGGGGGAGTTTTCCCCCAGGTGACATTTTTCTAAAAGGTAAGAAAATCTCTGGTATAAATAGATCAGGCTCAGTACAGCTTAATTATAGACTTTTAAATTTTAGCTTGAATTGATTTATTTAATGAAAGTATGCTAGATTAATTACTGTGTCTGTCATTAGCAATGGCAAATGTTATGTAAAAAAGATACACAAATGTAGTAACTGTGAAGAATTGAGGTCCACTAGGGGGCGATGAGTAAGTTGTTACCTGTTGGGAATGCAATAGATGGAAAGAAAAATAATTGATGTGATCGTGATATACACTGTGTTCGTCAGGAACAAAAAAAACTTCCCCCATGTTCGGTAAGAAGCCTCCCGTGAGTTACTACAACAATCTCAACAATTAGAAGAAACTGCTGAATGCTCAGTGGGCTGCCGATGTGAATGAGCAGTTCACTCAACTCAGCAGTTCAGTAAAGTCCAGGTTGCTGTCCATGGAGGATAGGTTGGCTGCTTTGGAGTGAAAAAACTGTGCGGGAGACTCTAAGAAGAGAAGACGGGTGCACAATCCCAAGATTGCGGTAAGAATATGTTCGGTGACTACTAGCTAAGCTAAAAGTAGCCTAGTAGCCTTGTAAAAGAACAAGTGAGCAGAACCAGTGTAAGTTGCTTTATAAAAGTGTATTTTTTTTGTCTTGTAATTTACAGGAAGCAGTATGCCATCTTTACAACTCGGAGACAAATTGTAGGCGCTACGAACCGGAGCAAGGGTAAGATTTAAAGAATATGCTTTCATTCTGCTATATAAGGAAATAGATAAGTTAATAGATACCGATCTTAACCGTACATTTTGTTTCCACAGACTAACCTCGCCTCATAACGAGGCCGTGACCTCCTATTTGCTCAGAGCTATGTCTGCAAGTCCAGATTTACACGATGCTGATAATGACGACATTGTGTGTAAGTAACTTTTACTGTTTTCTCCTTCCTTGTTTAATTTTACTGTGACTTACGTTTTTTTTATTCATACAACTCTCATTTAATTGTTTTCCAGCTGCCTGTAAGACCTATTATGAGACAGTACGCAGGAGCTTCAGGTACAAACAACCAGACCTTGCACCGCAGGCGGAAGCTGTGAAGAGTTCAGCTCGGAGTCGATCGAGAAGAAAAAGGGTAAGACTTTTTTTGGTGACTATTTTTCAGGTGCATTAAAAGATGTGTTGTGTCCATACGCAGTGCATCGCGCAGTACTGATTGTCTTTATTGATTTTTTTTACAGCTGCTGGAAGCTGGACAGAGTGTGCTAGATGAGGAAGAGGAGGAACTTTGGAAGTCCGCCACCATAGACCTGATGTCTGATGAGAAAGACAGCATCGTTGGCGGGGTGTCTGGATGGATTGTGCGACCTCCGTCCTTTGGCAGCCAGGAGCTCACCGAGCTCTGTGCCACGCTGCAGTCCAGATTAGAGGCGACTCCGAAGTACAGGGCAACGCACCACAGACGTCTGTAAAACGGGCCAAATTCAGACAGAATGCCGCCAGTTAACTACAGCTCCGAGGCGGCAAACTGCCACTTCACGGTGCTGTAGGATTTTGGGCTTCTCGTGAGCTTCCCATTTGTTGTGTGGGCAGATCTTGCTTTGTACATAGTTGTGTGTTTGTGCTAATAAAGCTCTTTCTTTGAATAAACATGTTCCTGGCAAATTTTCCTTTCCTCAATAAATTCATTCATGTCCTTGATGGTAATAATAGTGTAGTCCATAGGATAACAATGACATGAATACATAATAGCATATATATATATATATAATTATTATTTTATTATTATTGGGGGTTGCATTTATAATGACCCAGGGTGACCAATAGTGACAGATCTGCCAACCAATCACGAGTGATTTTTCTTGTTTAAAAGTAGTGGTTTCATCCAATACTGAGTAAGGAAATTCAAGCCAGGCCTGGCCAGGAGCGGTTTCGCTGCTATTCATATGCTAATTAGAACTATTAGCACTCCGCTGCGAGCTCTCCACATACGTCATGGCTCGTTTCCGACAATATGTGGCACAGACAAACGTGACGTTCACAGGCTGTAAATTGTCGTTAACTGCTGAACATGAGGGAGATTTCCGGGTGTTTACGGGGACGAAAATCCCACTTTTCATGCAGTGTAGCCTGTTTGAACTTGACCTGGACTCAACCTTATTTGGTTCGCACCTGGACTTGGACTTTCCTCAGACTTGTCTTAACTACAGCCCTGGTTCCAACAAAGTTCTTAAAGTCCATGGTCCTCCCAATCCTGCATCATAATATTGTAGAGGTGAGACTGCTCTCTCTATAGCTATATATATATATATATATAATAAATCTAGAACACTTTAAACCATTGTTCTTTTCAGCATTCCAATAAATGACCCATGTTTCCATCGTTCTGGTGGACAGTCTCCATATTCAAACCACTAACCTTGCATGTCTGCGTTTATCTTGCAAAAACTACCTTTAAATATATACCACAAGTTCCAAACAAATCGTGACCTGCCAATAATATAAAACCAGTCCAAAACAAACTTTCCCCACAATGGTCCTCCACCATCAAGAGCCACAACTGCTGATTAAATAAACTGAGGCCATTCCTCTCAAATATTAATATTGATAACCCAAATAGAAAATATATAGATGCAAGAAGCATGTGTGCCAACAGCTGTCTCTTGCACATGTTTAAACCCATCTTTCATCACCATCTCTCTTTTTCCTCCACACACATTTCAGAAGAGGTCTGGCATGTGTTAAGCTGTCCAGAATACGAGGAGGAGTGAGAAAAAAGAAGGGAGGCGAAAATTGGGAAGGAGAGAGTGGACGTGGGCCGCGGTGGGTGGGTGGCTGGAGACGAAAGAAGAAAAGGGAGGTAGAGAAAGCACATCCAGATTAAAGCAGGATTAATAAAATCTTCTCAGTGTTAGTCAAAGTATTGCACTCAGTTTGAAGCCTGTATTCGAAAGCCATGGTCAACAGAGGATAACAAAGAGTGTCAGGACCTGGGCCGGTGCTGCCTGCGTGCTCATAGGTGTGATTGCAGGTGGCCGTTCTGCTGGGTTAGGATGCTGTGATTACAGCTGGACTTTGAGGCTGAATCATTACAAGAACTTTACTAAGGACATTACTTAAGAGCCATGTTATCTGTTACTCAAGACCCATTCAGACTGGATGAATGCTGTGACTGAATGGACTGAATGAAAGTAGATCCAGTCTTAGTCATGCCACTCGTTAACTAGACCACTGGCTCTCAAACTATGGTACATGTACCACTGGTGGTATGCAGAGGTCTCTGAAATACATGTTTTTTAATTAATTAAATTGATTTAAAAACATACAATAGCACATACAGCCATGCTTGGTAAGGAGCTAAAATGTGATAGCAAGATAGTTAGCGGAGGGTAAAATTGAACACTGCAATTGTGGCTCAAAACGGGAACTATGGGGAAGGAAAGTGTGGCTCAGGAGTACCCATTTTCCAACAAATTTACTCTATTACTGTATTTGCTACTGTATCATAATGGTGGTACTAGGGGAGCCTAATATTTTCAAAGGTGGTACGTGGTGTAAAGAAGTTTGAGAAAAACTGAAATAGACTAACTGATCCAGATCCCACATTTTATTCGAAACACACACTGTTAAAAGAGTAGCCACAAGTAAGCACAGTGGTAGAAAGTAATGTACTTAAGTTACCTTTTGGGTATTTGCATATCCATTTTATGCTCCTTTTTACTTCTACTCCACTACATGTCAAAGGCAAATATTGTACTTTGTAGTCCACCACACATATGGGACACCCATAGTTACCACTGAAGTTACTATTTTCACTTACAGCTGAACTAATCTGTATTGTTATATTTACATTGAATCAAATGACCGTGTGATGTCAAAGGTATCACGGATCAGAGAATTCTCACTAATTATGCACTTGTCAGGCATGAGGTTGAATAAACAACCTGTCTATCATTGTCTTCAACCAATTAGATCAAGGAACCATATCATGTAATAAAACTCTTACTGAATCCAGTCGGGAGAAGAGAGATGTTTTCTCTCTCAATTTTCCATGGAGAAAAGCCTTCAGTGCCGTGCTTTGCTCTTCTTTCAATGAAGAAACACTCTCCAGTTCTGATAGAACTGATGCTAGCAGCATCTACGCTAACCTCTTTAGCAGCCACACTTCTCTTACGCATTGTCACACACACCTAGCGTTAAACCATGGCCATACTTCATGCCATATGCTGATTGGTCCGGTCCGAACCACTGCGTTTGGAAACACACGCATAGCTTGAAGCCTGGCAAGATGGATTCCTGGGTTCATCTGGTCTCTTTAGTCCCGCTGCCTCGCAAGGTAACAGTAATGTGTGAGTAATAATAATCCAGTGAATAATATAACTGTGGGAGTGCAATTCACATCTAACAAGAGACAAGCACATTTACTCTGTTATCTGATCTAATTTTTTGTTCCCTCTGTCTTTGTCTTTTTATTCTTTGCCACATTACTTCAGTGTATGTTTGATTTATTTCCCTCTTCAATCAATCTAAAAGCAGAGTAATCCCAAAAAATGTAACATAGGACATTAACATTAAACTCTTCAATAACTTTCACTGTAAACTTAAAGCTTACTTTTACTGAAGTATATACAACTTCATGACTTAGAGTAATTTTCCATTGTGGTATTGCTGCTTTTGCTTCAACTATATTGTTTGAGTTTCCCACAATACTGTGTTCTACAGCATGACAGCTAAGAAAAAAACTGAAAGAAAATAAAATACTTTGGTATGTTTGGAATTTCGTGGCAGTAAAGTATGCCTCTGTAAATGTGAATATAAGCTTATTGGCAGCTGCCATTCAAGTAAATCAAGTGCCGGGCTTCAAAATGTCCACAGATTCTACTTCCTTCTATCCAGACCACTGCAGTGTAGCTGATGCTCTGCCTCTGGATGTTATTGTTTAAAGAACAAACCCTCTGCCCGCTGCAAAGGGGCTCACCCCCGACAGCGAGGGCTTCATAAATCTTCACTGTGTCTGGAAGTTCCTGGCTGTGCAGGTTGGAGGGTGGACAAAAGCACCAAAATGCTCAGGAAACTGCACTGCAGCTGCACCCGAGGGGACATAAAATAACATCAACACTGGCTCTGGCCATGGGGCCGATGGGGTCAAGAGGAGGGGTGGTGCGATGTGTGGGTGACATGGACGGGACAGTGTGAAAAATGAAATTTGTTGCTGTCTGTTTGACTATACTGGGGTGTGCTGATGGTTACGTAAAGATTAGACTTTTAGTCCTACAAGCAGATCTCACAGGGAATGTTGGCTGGGGTAATTCAGTAGATAGAGCAGCAGGTTTTCCAACTAGATAGATAGATTGATTGATAGATAGATAGACACTTTATTTATCCCGAGGGAAATTCAAGTAATGAATGAGTAATTAACTAATGAAAGGAAAGAGGACTAGCACCCTGGTTGGTGAACCAAACCTAATCAAGCCATTCATGATTAGAGCTGAGCGATTTGGTTAAACCATATTGCAATTATTTTGACAGCTATTTCAATATTATTCACCATTAGTGTGGGAATGATCTTTGCAGCACAGATTTAATTTTCACTAAAATAATAAAATCATGATGATGTGACTTTGATGATGTGTTTTTGGGGTCTGTACCAAACAAACAAGTTTTCTTACATCTGGAGAACAGGATTTTGTAGACAGGACATCTCTGCAGAACTGGAGTAGTTCATTCTAATGCAGTTTGTCACACATTTTACCTTTTTGCATATCGCACTTGACCATATTGTGATTTCTATAACACTGTGATTTATTGTGCAGTCCTATTCATGATGGAATTAAAGACAAGTCAGGTGTAGTGACTATGAGCACCTTCAATGTCAATGTCTGTTTCCATTAACTTATTTTAATGCACATTTTGAAGAATCACATTAATTCAATTCAATTCAATTCAATTTTATTTGTATAGCGCCAATTCATAATAGAAGTTATCTCAGGACACTTTTCAAATAGAGTAGGTCTAGACCGAACTCTTTAAAACATTAAGAGAGACCCAACAGTACCACCATGAGCAAGCACTTGGCGACAAGGGCAAGGAAAAACTGCCTGTTAAAAGGCAGAAACCTAGGACAGATCCTTCGGCTCTAGGTGGGTGGTCGTCTGTCTCGACCAGTTGGGGTGAAAGAGAGAGAGAGAGAGAGAGACAGAGAGCGAGAGACAGACAGGTGCACAGCAACAACAGTATTGGCAATGGCAATCTAGCAGGACCATGGCAGGAGGCTCCACCAGGATCGATAAGAACCTGCGAGACGAGAACGCACAAGAACTCCGGGGAAGAAGTGAAGTTAGTAACATAAATTAATCGAACATGAGTTTTATCCACTGTCGTTGGCGTCCTGTGAGAGGATCTCATGTGCCAAATACCAAAACCTCTCACACCGCATTGATAACGTGACTGACAGGGCATCCAGTTAATGTACAAACTGCAAAGCAATGCCTCATCTGAGGCCGCTGGTGAATACAGAAGGGCTACGTCTCTGCATGATTAGTGAATAAGCTT